CTGGCGCATCTGATCTTTCACTAGCACCAATTGAAAAATGGGTGCTTGTCACAACACAGATCGCTTTCTTCCCCGCTCTGCTCCCCACCGCGCGCTGCAAAGGGCCCCCCAAAGGCGGGGGGCAGCCCTAGCCGGAAGCAGTGTGGGAAGGCGGGTGAGAAAGAAGCGGCAATCGCTCAAGGCAGCGGTCGGGACCCGCAGTCTTCCTGAGCTCCCTCAGCTCTGCTGCGGGGGCTGGGGCGCCGGGACCACCAGGCGGAGGAGGGAGCCAGGCTGGTTCTAGCTGCACCGAGCTCACGTTCTTCTGAAACGAACTGATCTGAGCGTTCCACTGGAGGTGCCCCCTTAATGGCCTGGCCTGGGGACTTGACCCGGACAGCGTTCTGGTTCCAATGAGTCAAAAGAGCCCACCTGCCCCTCCTTTGGCACCTCCATTTCTCCTAGACGCAGAGAAAAGCCCAGGATCATTAGGCGGGAATGGGCCTCTCCTTGTGGATGGGGCCGAGTGGGTGGGAGGGGCTGTAGAGGGGCCAGGATGTCGTCTTAGGACTGTCTCCCCCACCCCCCGGAGTTCACTGATTGATTGGGGGGTAGCCTGGCAGACATATCCTTCCGGCCTCTTTCCGGCGTCCGGCCTCGTCTTTTCCGCGTCGGGATCCAGAGCCCTCCAGGCAAGAAAAAGCAGGGAGGCCAGATCTCCGCGAAGGCGAGGGGGCAAAACCGGGTGTCTCTGCGTCCAAGCTTCTAGGCCTCCCGCGAGGTGACTGGACAGGCGGGCCGCTCAGATCTCACAAGCCCGCTGCCTTGGAGCTCTGCTCTAATCTCCTCTCAGCGGGCCTCCACAGTCCCTTTGGTTCCTGAGCCCAGGCTCTGCCAGCCGCACCTGTTCCTGATCTCCCTTTCCAGGGACCCTTGCCACTACCCGTCTGACTCGCATAGGGATCAAGACTGCTTGGTGGTCAGGAGTTGGGCAAGAGGAACAGTTTCAGACCGGCGTCCTGGGGGCCTTTTTCTTGGTATGTCTGGAGCCAGAGGTTGCTACCCCTGCATTATGTATTCCCAGAGGTGGGAGCCTGGCCAACCCCCCCAGCACTCCCTTACACAGCACACCAGACAGCAGCTCTTTCTCGAAACCATAATTTTACTGTCTCAAAGAAACTTTATAACTTATTTACAAAGTCCTTTTTTTTCCCGAGATACAAAGCAATAAGTTAACATTCTCAATATAAAACTAAACTTTGACATAGAGAACACAAAACACGGTTGATTTCAATTGATCACATTTTCCAAATTTCACAAATGTCAAGATTCTCATTTCACAAAGCATCAGATTTTACAGCCACACACAACGGAACGGAAAAAAGCTAAGCTTGTGCAACATGTTTACAGAACAATAATAATAACAATAATAATTAACAACAACAACAATATGTACAGTAATTAAATCCTGCACTGGAGACTGTGCGTTTAGGGTGGTGACTGGCATTATTTGTGGTGGAGCCTCTGGGATTGTTGTAAAGCTGCTTTTCTCTTACTTTAAAGCCCACTAGCATTAGACCTCTAGCTCATGACTGCCTGTTTTCTCACTGCTGTCCATCAGTCTTCTCTGTCTCCCCAAGGAGGGAATTCAGATTTTCCTTCTTGTCCAGGCAAGAAGACTAAGCATTCTTCTCGAAAAGAGAAATTGGGTTGGCTTCACTTCTTTCTTTTTAAAATAATAAGGGACATGTAAAAAAAAAAAATGCAAATCATTCGGCTCCAAACTCTCTATACCAGAGAAGTACAAAAGGTACTGTATAAGTTAAAAATCACCAGGTCCTCCTTATTCATTTTTCCCCGCGGGCGCATTTAAAGTCATCAGTACGTTTAGACCATATGCTCCTCGTGCCGCCCCCAAACCGAGAACTGGTCAACATTCAGCCTCAGGCAAAGTCCATTTCTTAATAAATAAAACCCTCTCCCTCCAATTTCCCTCAATTCCTGAACAAGCTACACAGACGGATAGGCAGGCCCAGGAAAAGGTCGAAAGGACAAAAAGTTCCAGTATCCGGAACTGGGCTGCCCGGTAGATTACGCTTCCTCGGACCTAGTGACTTTTTTCAGAGGCCACAGAATGAGGACGGCAGACAGATGAGGACCTCGACTTCATCAGCGCACAGACAGAGTGAAAGGAGACAAGAGACGAACAGGACAGAAAAGAGCTTTTGCTTTTTCTACATTGCTTTTTTTTTTTTTTTTTTTTCCTGATAGTCCGACACAGCTGAGGGTCTCGGATCGGATTCAGCGGGCTCTTCTTGCTGCTCTGGCTGGCTCGGGTGGCTGTGCCTGCACTCTGAGGCCGCGGTCTGTTGTCACCTCACGACCCAGGCCAGGGTTCCGGCGAGGGCGTGTGGCGCCAAGGAAGTCGCGGGTTGAGGCCTCATGGGGCTCCAAAGAGGCGACGGGCGTCCTGCTTTTGCCTTCACTGTTCCTTCTTCTTTCCCTCTGGGCCTTTCTCTGGGTCCAGGGCACACGGACGGGGTGGATGGACCGGGAGGCGGGAGGGGCCCGGGCCAGGGGAAACGGGAAAGAGGTTGGCGGGTGCAGGTGGGCAATCTCACATGAGTTGGGGTTGCTGCATAGCTTCTTGGTGCGCCGAGGGGTACCACGACGTGTAGCTGGGGATGTAGGAACCCGCACTGCCACCTGAGCCCTTCCCAGACGAGGAGTTGGGGTTCCAGCCAGGTGGCACCGGAGGGGAGCCGGCAGACAGAGCTCGGCCGTTGGACAGCGCGTTACCCTCCAGCGCCGCCCCACCCTGCTTCATCAGCTTCTTGAACTTGGAGCGCTTATTCTGGAACCAGATCTTGACCTGCAAGGGCGGACAACAACAGTGACTCGGGCTAGGTCCACTGTGCCTATTGGGGTCCTGGGGAAAGTGGCCGTGGTACAGCGAGAAAGGATCCCCCATGTTGCCCCGTGTGACAGGGCAGCTCCTTGCTGGGGGAGCAGAGCACCACCTGCACCACCAGCAACACCACTAAGAACCAAAGACTGGGAGGCCCGACAGCTGCTGTGGGTGACCAGCACCGAAGCTCTCTGAGAGCCAGGGGGCGTGGTGGTGAGGGGTGATCTGGGATCTAGATTTTCCCCTGCCGGGGACTCAGCCCAACCCTGGCAACCGTCTAGGGAAGATGTAGCGCTTGCACAACATAGAGCTTCAATTCCAATATGAACATCAAGTAAAAATCCAGTGGAGGAAAAGAAGTGGGGGAAATGTATTTACAATTCTACCCATCTTTTCTTTGCATGATCCTTTCTGTCCTTGAGGGAGCTGGGGCTGATTGAGGGGGCCACAGAGTTTTGTTAAACTTTTCATTTGGACTTAAATCAACCTTTCCTTAGCATCTGTTTGCTCTCCCCAGCTCTGCTCCAAATCCCGGCCTAGACGTTGGAAATCCGCGCCAGTCATCATCAGACCGCTCCTGGGAGCCTTAGTGAAATCCGGGAAGGAAGGTTCCGTTTCTCCTCCAGGGTCTGGGACTTGGGAGGTGAGAGGACAGAGGACAGGATTCCCCCACCCTGTGCCCGGTGAGAAGAAGGAGGAGGAGGGGGGAGACAAAGGCTTGGGCCCAGGCCCCCAAGTGATTAGCCGCATACTTTAAAGGCAAAGAAGAGATTAAGCCCCGCGTCTATTGTTCCAGTTTGTTCAGGCACGTGTGACCTCAGAGTCCCCAAACAAAACGTCTAGGGAAATCCTCCCTGCTCCCTAATCAGATTGTCCAGGGCTGGGGCGGGGGCAGCGCGGAGTACAGAACGCAGTGACTGAGCTAGGGCAGAGAGAACGAGGGAGGAAGGACACACACACACACACACACATGCACGCACGCACGCACGCACACACACGCCCAGTGAGCAAAAATGAAGCTTCGGGCCCTGGCCCGGCCGCAGGAAGCCTGCACGCCGGAGGGGCAGCAGCGAAGTACCTGCGTCTGCGTAAGTCCCAAGGAGGCCGCGAGCTCCGCCCTCTCCGGCAGAGCTAGATACTGAGTTTGCTGGAACCTCCGGTTCAAAGCCTGCAACTGCAAACTGGAGTAAATCGTCCTGGGTTTGCGGATCTTTTTCCCTTTGCCATTGAAGCGCACTTCACCGCCTTCCACCACCGTGCTCTTCTCGGAGTCAGCCCCTGAAGGGACAGCAGAAGCAGGGGCCGTTGTTAATGCGAGGGACAGCCTTTAGTGCGAGGAGCCAAGGGGAGTGGACACCGAGGGTGGCGGAGGCAGGACGGGGAGAGATACCGCTCAAGAAACTCCGAAAACCGGGGAACGGCCCAGCAAAATCTGAGGGCCGGACCCGTACGGCTGCAGGCGGACTAGGGCAGTTCCCAGACGCTCAGCTCCTGCCTTTGCAGGGAAAGTTTTCTGTTTTTGCAGGCGATAGTGGAGGTTTAATTACCCTTAATTGCATACATTGTTTATAGCGCTACGCAATAAATAATTACTGAGACTAATACGTGCACATGTGGGTTTCTGTTTTCCAGCGGGGCATTGTGTGCGCGGCGCACGGAGCCACCCAGAGGCCCGAGCCAGTGCCTGGGAATGCTCTTGGATTTATTTATCCTTTGCTGAATAGTTGCGAGTTGGGTGGATTTTTAAAAATTTTTCTTTGCTATGACAGGGATCCATAGATTGATACCCGAAACCTCCACTGTTCCAGCGCCCTCCCCACCC